CAGATATATAACATGGGAAGGAGTCATTTGTATAATACACATTCTCCACACCGAGCCACACATTGTGAAAACTTCGAGTAGGTGTAGCAGAGGGAAATGTGGGCGAAGGATTGCTTTGTCACCGGACCTACGCTAGAGAAGGATGAATGGTAATGACGCGTGGTGAGAATGTCCACTGAATGATTACTGTAACAATTACTTTTACAACAGCAGTCGTCACAAACGACGTGCACACATCTGGGAAGCTGCGGCTATTTTTAGAAGGAAATAAAAAAAAGTTGCCTTCGTGACTAAGACGTTTACAGGAGCTTTGTTTCGGTCACAATTCAGTGCAAACGTACGAGATCAAATATAGATATAACATTTTTTTTTGTATGAATTTTTGCGAAAGGTCATTTTCATATAGAAGTACTGGCAATTGTACTTTTAAAAAAAAATCTAAAAAAAAAAAACAAGGTTCATTTTTTTTAATTTTTGAAACTGGGCGTTGCAAAGTTGCAGCAGACCAAACTCCACACTTTAGCTCTGACTAGACTCCTCCAGGCCTGGAGTGTACTATGACAAAAGATGACACATGCAGCACTGGACCCAAAATATCCAGTCAGATGAGTCGAAACTGAAGCCACATAAAACGCTGTGGCTATTTAAATGGTGTCTAGGGCTGAGGAAGGAGGAAAAAAGAAAGAGCCATAAACCCAAAGAACACCGTCCTCCTAGTTGTTGTTGTCCACTGTCATGTCTACAACCCTGTCATCTCGTACTATTTGGAGCGTGAAGCATTGAATTAAGAGCGATGAACCATTCCCGCCTCCTCAGACTGGCTGCCTCTGCAGCTCGAGTATTAAGTCGAAATTATAACGTCTGCTTTTAAGGGCTGTTAGATGAGGTCAGCTCCACACCTTGTTGGCTCCAGATTTCACACAGCATGACTTTGCTGATTTCCTAGTGGGAATTTGATTGTCAAATGTCCAGTTTTGCATTACTTTAAAATTCACCACCATTTTCATGGTTTTGATTTGTAAAAAATAGATATATTTTGAGTTGGGGCAAAACCTCCACCTGCCACCTTAAGGTTCTGGTTTTGATGCCATTAAAATCCAAAATAACCAGGTTTCCATGGTTACTGGTGTAAATCACTGAAGCGCTGACTACACGCGCTGAACGTGATTATCATGTGTTTTTGTGTGTTATCTTGTTTTATTGATTGTCAGGTCCAACAGTCAACACTGTTGTTTTTATATGTTGACCCGTAAATAATAAAGAAAACAGGAAACACACTGTGAAAAAACACAGGTGACCTGTGTTTTTCACACAAGTCCAATCAAAGCTAGCTTATTTGTCTTTGACCCAGATTCATAACTGGGTTAAATATTTGGCATCATAATAAACTTCCTTTTAGAAGAACTGGACTTTCTACCTTTTTCTGCCCTGGAGAAAGAATACAATGAATGGCAGGAAGGAGGGCAAAGGAAATGGAGAGATGGCGGAAAATGAGACGGAGAACCTGGAACAATCAAGGTCTGTGCATTACACATTGTAATGTGAATGATACAGCAGTTATAATTAACAGCATACTTTATATTGTGCCAAATATGAATTCCAATTACAGTCATAATTACTTTAATAACAGTGGGATTTCCTTTGGTGTTTTCTTTCCAAAGAAGTAGAGAGTAGAGCAGAGTTTCAACACCAAAAAAAAATTTTTCAAGTACAGTCATAAATGGTGGGGATTACTCATAGTTACTCAAGTCTCAGTATTTTTTTTAAATTCAGTTACTTTAATAGTGTGGATCACAAGTATTTCTTTTTCCGATCCTTACAATTTTGGAATCCAGAACTCGACGGTTCGGCCGGCCGAATTCAACCCGCAGGCCGCCATTTGATAATCACTGATATATGTTTACCATATAAAATGTAATAAGCATTACTATTGTTTTTTTAAACATTTTCAGTACTTTCACAGTACTCAAAATATTTAAATTCTTTTAATTTTATTATTACAGGAAAAAAACAAAAAACAAAACCCTGACAGCTAGGTGGCTGTAACGTTTCGCAACCTATCGGGTGAAGAAAGTGAATGAATCCTATGTCAGCTTTGGTTGGTCAGTTTCATGAGCTCACTGACAGGGCGTGATGCTCCCCGAGGCAATTACTGACTCAGACGCACAACGTGGTACTTTACAAACATGCAGACAGAGGGCAATATACGGGGCTTTTTGACATCACGGTGGCGTCAATGCTCTTTGAGCGGTTGGTTCCCCGGGCAACCAGAAGTAAACACGAGGCAAGTGGAGACAAGTGCACTTGCACAGATTTAGAGAGAGAGAGAGAGAGAGAGAGAGAAAGTTCCCAAAGAGTAAAAAAGTGGAAATACCAGCACTTGGACGTCTCAGTGATGTTATCTTTGTTATATAAGTACAGAGACACCAAAACACTGCAAGTACAGTTTGTACCCTGATGTGTCACTGTGATACTGAGCACGAATTAAGTATGTGTGGAATTCACAACAGATGGAAGTGGCTGAATGGGTAAAGGATGTGTGCTGATGTCACGGCCCCGCTGGGTGTGCGTCTGTTAGTCTTGTTTGTGTGTGTGTGTGTGTGTGTGTAAATCTCAGCTCCCCACAGAGGTGCGATGGCTTTACATACACCCTGGATACCGTTGCTGTGTTTTAACCAAGCCTTCTCTAACATGGTAAACACAAGGAATCCTGGGAATTTTTGTTTCTTAAATGTCAAGGGTGTGCAGACAGGTAGCTCTGTCACGCACTTCACCAGTGTGTTGTGAAACACCCAGGAATTTCCTCTGTTTTTATAACATGCCTCAAAGCAACAGAATAAAAAAAAACCTCATCTAATGAAGTTTGGGAAATATGGTTTTTTTGGAAAAAAAAATGTACCGGATTTGAACATTTGACCAAAAAAGTCACACACGTAGAGTTTGTATGTCTGCATGATTTAACGCAGTGTTTTCCAGGGCTGTGTTACAGCATGTGCAGTACTACTAGGGAGTCTCCTGAAACCTTGTTCTGTCTGATGCACAAATACACATGTCGGAGAGTTTTATCTATTTTAAATTTACACAAAAAAAAAAAAAAAATTCCCTGCAAATGCACATACAATTATTGACCGACCGTCACATTGGAATTTCAATCCAGAAGGATTTATATAGATTGTTATACTTATATATTATGACATTGTTGTCCAAAGTCTGGGTCACGACCCTCAGGTGGGTCGCAAGAGTTTTTTGGGTTTTTTTTGGGTCGTCTCGCATCATGTTACCCAGAAGTTTACGAATAATGAGTATCAACTTAAGTCGTGAAGGTTTGTGACTTTTAAAATATGGGTCCGCAGAAAACAAAACAAAAAAAGGGAAACATTGCATTATAATACTGGATATGAAAGTGTAGTTGGACATCTTCATGTACAAACACACTGGAACAGAAAAGGGTCTTCCCCAAAACTGTTACCACAAAAGTAAGATATTGTCAAATATGTCTCCTAGAATCTGAAGCATCAAGATCGAAAAAAAAAAAAAAAAATCTACACCCAAACATCTTTTACAATCAGACGTCAAAGGAAATTACTTAACACGTTGATGGTGTGCGGGTAACCATCAATGTCAACATACTGTGTCTGTAACTTTGTCTTTTTTGCAAAAAACAAATATTCACAGATGCATTAAGGGCCTGGAGTATATGTTTAGATTTAAGTTTTTATAGGAACATATTCACAGATGCATTAAGGGCCTGGAGATTTAAGTTTTTATAGGAACGGGTATAGATTTCAAACCAAGGTACAACAAAAACAACAAAACAAATGTAATTACTGTAGAATAGACCAGTGTTTTCTAAACTTTTTTTTTTGTGTTCTGGGGACCAATATTTTAAAAAGTCACAAACCTTTATTTATTTAACATTATTCGTATAACCTCTGGCGACACACCTGAGGGTCGCGACCCAGTGTTTGTGAAACAATGGAATCGGTTGATACTTGCGTTGCAAAAATGCGTTAATATTTGCATGAAAACCACAGCCTTCATAATAATCACATGATAACAGTATGTGGTCAATGGCGTAGGTGGGCTAAAGAGAAAATCAGAATAAACTTCCATTCAAGGGCTGATTCACATTCGGTCAAATTCGCCCAAAAGTGTGAATTGGAAAATGTGTGACAGTGCGTTGGTTAACCACCGTTCATGAAAGTCAAAAAGGAGAGATGATTTCCCCTATGCGAAAAGGGAATTCTTCAAGAGTCCGGTGGGCTTTCATTCATGCACATCACGTCTCTCATTGACTGAAATCAATCCAATCCCCAAACCTACATGACAGGTGTAAACTAGGTGTTGAAGAGGAAACTGCAAAGTTATCGGTGTGACTATGCAGATGGGGGGGATTTTCTCACAAAAGCACAGCTTCAGTGTGATTTCCCTTTGCTTTTTCTAAGATAAGTCAAGTGGAAATCCCCAGCCAGCGCTCCGCCCACAGTGAACACAAAAACCCAGCGCGCCTCCCTCTCGGCAACACTTTGCCCCCGACCTTTGGATAGAGACGCACGTCTTGCTTCTGCTTCATAGTCGACATGGACGTACACAGAGTGGCCAACACTCACCGACAAATGGATTATAACAGCATGGCACCCAAACACGGGAAAGCGCTGCCGTGCCAGGAGGACCGCTTCGACAGCGGCCTGGACTCCCTGAAGGAGGACGAGCTGGTCAGCGAGTTTGAGAACATTAAGGTGGAGGCGCACGATCCTGCACTGGATGAATACCTGCCGTGGAGAAGCGCAGTGACCGAGGATGGTGACACGTAAGTGGGATTTCATATTATTTTATATGCATTTTTTTATTTATATATATATATATATAAATTGATTATTATTATTTATTTTTTTGCGAAAATGTGCAAAAGTTGCAAAAAAAAATAAATAGGATTTTAGACGACATGCACGAACCGAAGCGTTTAAAAAAATGCTGCAAAAGTGCGCAGGAAAATGGCGGAAGTTGTAGGAAAACAAGTGGTCTTTAAAGTACGTGTAAATATGTGTGTGTGTGTGTGTGTGTGTGTGTGTTTGCGTGCAGCACAGTGTGTACTTTGGCTCAGACTGCAGTCTGGGCGGCGCTTCGGCGCGCGTTTGCGCGTTCAGGAAAGTCCCTGGCGCGTTGCCAGTAACTGATAAAGCATCAGATGTGTCAAGCCACAACTGGTGGAAATAACCCGACAAAACTCCATTCTTGCGAAACACTTCACTACTCAGGCTTTGTTCACTCATATTTGCTTGTGACCACTTCCTTTGTGCAGTTTTTGTATTTTTTTTTTTTGTTGTTGTTGTTGAAAAGTACATTTTTAAACTCACCCTACTACTCTCTTTCTCACAGGCCTCTCCACTTGGCCATCATTCACGAAGCCACCGACTATGCCCTCCAGATGATCAAGTTGTCCCACAATCACCCCTTCCTCAATCTCCAGAACCACCAGAGACAGGTAATGACCACACACAGGAAAAAAAAACAACTAATTTTTTCCTGCAGCTCAAACACCAGATGTCTTCATAACTAAATGTCCATTTAACACCCTCTCCTCCTCTTCCTCCTCCTCCTCCTCCTCCTCTGCAGACGGCACTTCATCTAGCAGTGATCACAGAGCAGCCTCAACTGGTGGAGAAACTACTGAAGGCCGGCTGTGACCCCCGGTTAGCCGACAACAGCGGGAACACGGCGCTCCACATCGCCTGCAAGCGAGGCTCCATGGCCTGCTTCGGTGTCATCACTCAGAACTGCCGACACCTGACGTCCATTTTGTCCTTCCCAAACTACAATGGTAGGCCATGGAAGAATACAAATCATTGACATTCCATATTATTTAAAAAAAAAAAAATTATAAGCCTTTAATTTTTCTAATTTAATTTATCTCCTCAGGACACAACTGTCTCCATCTGGCGTCTATCAATGGCTACCTTTCATTGGTGGAAAACCTCGTTAGGATGGGTGCCGACATTAATGCACAGGTAGGTGTCGCCAAATACACGGGAGGGGGACAAGATTTCAAAATAAAGCTCGAAATGAGTTGCAAGGGATTAACAAAGCTGTTCTGCTTCTGTAGGAACAGTGCAGCGGACGCACAGCCCTTCACCTGGCCGTCGACCTCCAGAACCCCGTACTGGTCAGTTGCCTTATCAACCTGGGCGCTGATGTGAACTGCCTAAACTACGGCGGCTTCACGCCGTACCACCTCACGTACGGGCGTCAGAACGAAGAAATCCGAGACGAGCTGTTCCAGCGGACGGCTCAGGAGCTGAGGGAGCTGCCCGAGAGCGAGACGGACGACAGTGACATGGAGGACCTGTCGGAGGACTTGTCGGAAGATGAGGTCAGTATCTCGTCCGTGACACTGTCGCACTAACGGCGCCGACTCAAGCCCGTGTTTGACCCCGGTTCCCTGACGTTTCCATTTTCTTCTTCTTCTTCTTCGCAGCTTTACGACGACATAAAGTTCGGAAAGTAAACGTAAAAACCATCCTTCCGCTGATGGACTCAAGTCACAGTGAAGCTGCTAATGGGTCGCCTAAGGCCCCGTCAAGTGAGGGACAAGTCAGTACCCACCCTGCCCATTCAGGTCCAAGCCCAAAGCACAGGTGCTGGTCCCTGGGATAACAAACATGAATGAAGAAGGCGTTCCAGGCTGGTTCACACCAGCCCGGGTCAAAGAACCACAAACCAGCAAGACCATGACCTCCATGTCTTAAATACTGTAAAAAAATGTGTATTGATGTGTAGATAACAGACGTGTAATATATTGTAAATGCAGAGATATTATTTTTGTACCTGTACATGCTGTATGTTGTGTGAATTTAAGCACTATTAACATAAAAAATCCTCAAAATAAAAGAAGTCTATGAATACAACGACCTCAAAATAAAAGAAGTCTATGAATACAATGACCTCGGATCAGCGTTGGGGTTTTTTGTTTTTTTTTCTCCTTCTGACTCTCGTCGCTGGCCTTTCCACACTTGTAAAACAAGCAAAATTTCTCATTTCCACAACGTGACCAGAACAGAGCAGTCATCACCCAGACTTGTGAAACAATCGGGGGCAAAACTCATAGCGTTCAGTTGCTTGGAACAGTCTGGGATTTCCTTGTTGAGGCGAGGTCACAGGTCTTTGAGTCACTCTGCAAAAGTCCCCGCACAGAACAAACGAAGCGTGATGTACCTAAATATCCTGCCTCGCCCTGGAGCTACTGTTCAACAGCAGATAGGAACTGGAACTGGGTACAAAACCAGAGGAAAGTTTTTCTGGAAGGAAGAAGACTTTTACAGATACGGGGGAAAAAAAAAAACAAAAAAAAGAAAAGTGCCAGAGAGATCTGACTACCGTGGAAATGAAACTAACTTTCAGATTGCTAGGTACGGCCCACTTCAACTTTATAATGTGTATTTACGAAGAAGCCAGTGCTTAATCAGGAGGACGATAGGGTTTAATAGCTGCAATTGTCCTCAGGGCTGTACTCTCAGAACTGAGAGGGATTTTCCAAGGAGCAAAGAGCAAGTTGTTGCTTCTGAAGGAAAAGCTCAACTTACACGGGGAATGTTGACATGAATAAGAACAAAAAATTCCCAACAAGCAGGAAAAAAAAAGAAAAGAAAGTCATACTTTGGTTTACCAGCAGGCATTTCACATTACGAAAGTGAGGCAACGCTGATGTGAGACTCATTTGGGATTATTGCTGATGATATCATTTGAGTTATTCCCCTTTCTTAAGATCCACTGTTAAAAGCACCGTTATTGAAACCCCCTTCACGTCAACAAAGTCACAAAACTCCACTGAACTCCATAAAAATGGACATTACCAAGATAAATCAAATTACAAATCTGTTTTTGTTTTATATACTGTGGCACAAATAATACATTTCATTTGACCTGTTGTGACCCCTGCCCTCCACAAGTCTTTGAACTACTCACCCTCAGCCTTCTGTGCTATGTCTAAAATAGTTAAATACAAAAAGATTCCCCAAGATGTGAAGAAAATGAGGTCAAATCTGTTGCACACCATTGACTGTGTTGTAAAATAACTTCTCACCAGCTCCTCAGGTGGAACCTGTGATTGTTTTATGGCTCTGAGAACCGCAACAGGAAGCAAAGAGAACTGTTCAGGTGCTCGGGCTTCACTTCCTTCTGCTGCTAAATTCGACTAACAGATAAAAAAAATAAACACCAGGAAGTATTTTCAGAATGAACAGAAAGTATATTCAAACAAAATACTATAAGGATTTTTTTTATTCTAACAACTCTATGTGGGTAGAAAACAAACAAACAGAAATATCAAGACAATTTATTTTACTCCAAAAAGTTTTTTTTATCATCGTTGAATGAAATAGTGGGATAAATGTACAGCAAACAAAGAAAAACACCGTTCTCCATCTGGGAAATTCATGCTCTAACTGAATCCAACTGGTGACAGGTCTTTGCTCGCTCAGTCCCGCTCTGCCAAGGCCATCAGGTGGGTATCTACCTCGGCCTCTGTTAGAATCCTGCAGAAAACAAGAAGACAAAAATCTTTACAACTGTCACGTCACAGCACTGATGTAAATTAACGGTTTTCTTGTGGCTTTCAATTTTAGTTTTTGTTTTGCCTGGTGTAGGAGGCGAGTGTGAACAGAGTTCTGTTCACCCAGTTAGGAATCTGTCAGGGAAGTCAACTCTCAAATATGAAATCTATTTCTCTGCATCACTTATTGTCTGAATGTGCACTTCTGCCAGTGAATTATGCGGAAGATATTTGCGAGCCGTCACGGCCCGGTGCCTTGCCCTCGTGTCAAGAGTGAAATCTACTTCTTGTGAAAAGTTCTTTCAGTTTTGGAATCTCCATTTCAGCTTTGCTTAAACAATGGTTTGATTTGAAAGTTGTTCATTTCTGAGAGTGGTTAAATCTGATTGAATCAAATATTACACTCAATGGAAAATGGGATAAAAATGTATTTCAATACTCTCCAATCAATCATTTATGTATATATATATATATATATATTTTAATCCCCAGAATTTGAATGCCACTGTTTTCACTTTCTCTACTGTCTTTATAATGAAACATCTTCAGCCACCTCTCCTTTACCTGAACTTAGGCTCCTGCAGTGTCACAACTCCCACCTCCAGCTCAGAGGGCTTGAAGTCAATGGAAAGAACAGTTGACAGACACGAAATTGCCGTCTGCAGAAAGAAAACGGAATGCAAGAGGAAAGAGGCCAGTGACAGGTTAGCAGGTCAAGGTAGGAAAGTATTTGCAACAATCCTTTTCGGGTTACCCTCATATTAAAGTTCATCTGCGGCGGCAGTGACGAAGAGTGACCCGACATACCTCGATTGTTTGTTCAAAGGTCCAATCCAGTTTCTTTTTCACTTTCTTCTCTAGAAAGCTGGTGGCTTCTGTCTGCTTGACTCCAGCGGCCGTGGCCTTGAAGCCACAGTAGTAGCCTGCTGGGTCGCACTTGTACACCTGTGGTCCATACTCTTCATCGACGCTGATCACAATCATACCTGCGGGAGCAAAGCGACGGTCAAACCAAGGGTCAGTTCAGCATTGGTGATTAAAAACAAAAGTAAAGAAAATACTGATGATGTCCATCACAAATGAGGTCCATGATTAGTTATGGTTGGTTAGCCAACAAACAGCAAAAACTCAAAACATCCCATTATCATATTATAAACACAGTAATACCTCGAGATTCGAGCATAATCTGTTCCAGGACCGAGCTCGTAACTCGAGGTGCTCGTATCTCAAATCATTTTTTCCCACAAATTCTAAAAGAAACCCTCCCTTTATTAGTGCTAATAACAATGGAAAAAAACATTTTTTTATTTGCTATAGAGACATACGCACACCCAAAAAAATTGTATCATATTATAAACACAGTAATACCTCAAGATTCGAGCATAATCTGTTCCAGGACCGAGCTCGTAACTCGAGGTGCTCGTATCTCAAATCATTTTTTCCCACAAATTCTAAAAGAAACCCTCCCTTTATTAGTGCTAATAACAATGGAAAAAAACATTTTTTTATTTGCTATAGAGACATACGCACACCCAAAAAAATTGTAGTATATAAGGATTCCTGCGATATAAAATAAAATGTGGTTTTAATTCTAGAGTTCTTACCTTCGAGACAGACGATACAGTAGCGGCTAATGGCGGCACGTGCGGAGGAGGAGGAGGAAGAGAGTTGGCCCGTACGTAGACACTTGATTCCGTAGCGTACCTTACATGTTACAACTTAGCCTACGTAGTTTTTCCGGAGGTCGACGAAGGCGTGAAGTGAACGAGCGAGGCGGTGTGGGCTGCTCCGAGTGCTCGGCCACCTAGTCTGTTAGCATGCTCGTATCTCAAATCTTTAATCGTATCTCAACGCAAAAATTTGATCGAAGGCTTGCTCGTATCTCGGAATGCGCGTATGTCGGGACGCTCGTATCTCAAGGTATTACTGTATCTAGAATATTTCAAAAGCTTGGCTATAAATTGATGATGTGGATCAACATGTCTGATGAATCAAAAAGACTACAACAATTGTCAAAAACTGAGTGTTTCAATGAATGATACAGACAGCACCCCAGCGGTCGCTTGTCTGCATTCTGTGTGTAGACCTGTGAGATGTCAGCAATCCTCTTGCACAGCATGTCCACTGGGATCTCATAACCATACTTGTACTTCCAGTTGGCCGCCTCGTAACGGGCTCGCTGCACTTGAGACCTGCTGTCGGCTGCAAGAGGCCACGACACAACGAAGGGAGTGAAAGAGGAAAAAGCGTCACATATACATCCAAACATCTCACAATGGTGTTATTTAGTCACTATTTTCCAATTGGCACTGTGCTTCATTCAATAAGGCATTGAACTGATATCTGAAATCACAAGACTGTTCTAAAAGAGGACTTGTAGACTAACAGGGAATTCATTCAAAAGTACTTCCAAATCAAGTTGGGAGTATTTTGTTTTGGGGCTTTATTTTGCAAATATGGCATGTAATTATATAGATTTTCCATTTCTTTAAACATTAGACTATATTCCAAGGTTTAATAATCCATATGTTTTAAAACAGACATTTAGATAAAACAATTTGAAGGAAATTTTTTTACCTGTCATCCCAGACATTACACATCCAATATTATCTGTTATTCTAAAAAGGTGGGTCACTGTGGAAGCATCCAGGAGCTTGTCCTATAAAAAGAAAGAAAAAGAAAGCCAGTTATTACATTATAATTTCAAGTTAGGACTTATTCCTTAAAATTTAATTTTTCTTCTACTGAGTAGAAGTACTTTAGTGCATAAAAATGGAACTGGCACAATTACATAACTCATGACAGAACATATAATTGAAATTTCACCTTTGTTAAGTCCAAAAATATTTAAAAAAAAAACCCAGAACATTGGAAAGTTTTAAACACACATCTAAATAAAAGAAGAACTCCACTGGTCAAATTAATACATGATTTTATTGTCACACATGTAATTAATTGCTGTATTGTTCATAAAAAAGCTCCACATTTCTTAATGTTTGGATGACAACTGTTGGTTTCTTTATTTTAGTTTAAAAAAACATGAAATACAAGACACTGGTTTCTGCAACTTTCACTTATGAACAATTCAAACTGGTCCAGAAAACAGTGATTACTTTGAAAATATGACGTTTTTCTACATTAGTATAGAGGGGTATTTGAAACTATTGCGACATGTGAATTATGTAAACATAGAGCATCACCAGTGTCAATCACTGCAGGACAACAACAACAACTCACCGGTACTTTTTTCTGTGTGACAACGACCGCACAGTCTTTCCCCCTGACTGCTACTGACGTGAGCCCACCTTGGTTTATGGCCTTGAAAGCATATTCTGCAAAGATGTAAAAATACAGTCAAAAGTTTGCAATAAACGAACAAATTAAAATATTACACAATATAAACTTTTGTTCAAATTAAAAATGCACTCTAAAAAAATAACAACGGTTTAACTATGAACAATGTAAATAAGGCTATTTTAGCATCTATTTCAACGTGCAAATGGCTTTCGTCATATCACGAAAACACGGACCAAATGTTGAAACGATGACAACGGTTTAGTTAAATTACTGACTTTAAAAACTTTCGTAAACATAATATTTTGCCGGAATGGCAAGTTGACACTTGAGGCAATGAATCAGCTTGCTTTATTGTAATGCTAAGCGTGCTAACGATCAGGCTAGCAGGGTTTGTTTTTTGATATCATTCAGAGTGTTAAAGCTGACAAACAATGGGCATAAAATAACCATCGAAATGACACCAAAAATACTTTTGTGGTTCAATATTACACCAGTTTTAATTTTGCGAGGAGAAATGTATATAGCTATTAGCCCAGCTAACCGAACCATGACAGGGCATTTAGCTAGCTAGCATCAAGTGAGCCGAAGCCCGGCTTTTGTGCAAACACGTTCAAATACTGACCGACTTGATAGAGTCTTCCTTCTGGAGAGAAGATTGTGATGTGTCGATCAAACCCTGCACTGGAGCCACGAGACATTTTTAACAATGAACTTAGCTAATACGTTCGCAATGAATTTGCTAAACAGATCCAACTACATGCACATACATCCACCCGGAAGTTTAACTGAAGCCACAGATGTTTTTCCGGTGTAAGAGGCCTGCCTCCTTTTACTGTAGAGAACGATGTTTTATAATATTCTTTATCATTATGCATATAATAAATAAAAATATAAATTGCAATACCTCTCAGAAATCATGACATAAATAAATGTTACACCAAATTGACTAAAACAAACAAGCTCACAATCAACAGTATTTGCATGTGTTACTCCAATAATACAGTATATATTTCACATGTAATATATAAGATTTAGGATGGGAGGATGCCCGGTAATTTATTGACTGACTACTTTATTTGCAGGGCCTTTTTGTTTGTGGTTGTGCATGCGTGACTCTAGATGGTGGCGAGGCAGTGTCGGGGGCATAAGTCGAGTAGAGGTGGGAGGTGAATCTGACAGACGGGGGCGGTTGAGGAAAGGAAAGTCCCAGGTTGCAGGTTCAAGCATATGGTGCATGTGGTAGTTTAAGGTTATCAGCAAAACTCTCCTACTGTGGGTTTATGTTGCGCGCTAAACCAACATCGCAGCCTCAGAAGCTCCTGATACAAGTAAAATAGGGGGTAAATGGAAACCACAATACCTGCTTTCTGCCACAAATAAAATATATAAACATATATAAACAGGAAACGTTAAAACTTTAAAGAGATACCTAGGCCATACAGGGTTTTACTGTATGTATATAAAAAAGGATACATTGGTTATTATGTTACTATTCTTGCTTGTTAAAAACTCACTTAATTAAAAATACCGTGAGAAACAGAAAAGTTGTAAAAACAAATCTCTAACTGTCTATAAAAAAAAACAGAAAAGTTGTAAAAACAAATCTCTAATGACAACTGTCTATAAAAAAAAATAACTCAATCTTTAAATGGAACGTGAGTTTTTTGGGGTTTTTTTTTCTCTCCCCATATCAGAAGTAAAAACAAACAAAACGGTTGCTATGCAGGGCTTTTCATTTCCTTGTTCCTCAAAAATCCTACAAATATACATTAGTCCTCCTGGGATTTTTTGATTTGTCACATTTACTGAATGGTAGACGTTTGTTTCCTCTTTTTTATAAATTTCAAAACAAACATTTACAAGTTGCGACACTGTTCATGAGAATGTTAGAGCTTTTTTTTCTTTTTTCTTTCAATGTCAACAGCAGAACGTCTCCCTCATAGAAGAAGTAAAGGTATGCAGTACACAGTATTGTATGAAATATTTGGAAACGTTTATTTAAAATAAAGAGTCAAAATGAAAAGTTCCTGGATTACAACACACTTTGCACCAGAATGTTTGACACTTTCCGACACGAGAAGTTTCACCTACTAAGTTAGTAGACCCCCCCCCACCACCAACACTACCCACAGAAGCCCCTCTGTGTTGCTGCAGAACCTCCCACTTTCCTGTCCTCTTAACCATAGAGCGTTTTTTTTTTAATCATTTTTTTTGTCAGCTTTGGAGCGTGTCTTATTAAAACTCTTTGCTCACCGTATTCACTTATGAAATCAAAAAAAGACCCCCGCCCGCAGATCTGAGAGCAGAAATGTGGGATTAGTCTTCTGATGGTGGTAGGGGGATCTCCACCATGTATGAAACTCTTTTTCACATTGTGAAGCCGCAGACTGTCTAATGTTTTCCAAGCACAAAAGTTCAGTTGTTAGGCAATGAGGGGGGAAACATTAAAGTAAGACCTGCTGCTTATTCAAACCCACGGAACCTTAAGGACACAATGTGTTTATTACAAACTCAAATGCAAAATTTCCCCAAATAAAAATCAGTTGGATATAAATATAACCCTCGGAAGAAGGGTCGTGAAAATCCCGTTTTTATTTTTGTTTTTTGTGAGAATATGATAACAGTGTTTACACCTCGTCTTGAGCAGAACGATGCACTGTGATTAGAGTTTGATAAGGCAGCGCGTGTGGTGAGGTGGCTTGCACGATCACTTCCTATCCCCTCGGACGTCTTCTTGTAAATTTGTCGTTCTTCGAAAAAGCAAGTGGCGTCACTTCACAAGAAACGAGGTAGTGTTGTTAAATACATTCCATTAAACAAGGCATGCTTTAAAGTGAGACATGCTAATCGCGACTTTTGGATACAAATCTGGGGCAGTTACATAACAAGGTAACCACCCTGATCACAGTGAGTGTTTCTGAAAAGAACCGGTGATACTGGAAGTACGACTACACTGTTTGGTAATCATTTCGTAGAGTTAGAGTAGACATATATATATATAATACTGCAAAACATTCTCTCATTTGATCTTATATATAAAATACATATGAAAAGTTGCCTCTAGGAGGCGTTAAAGAGAATGTTGTGAACAACCCCTCACCCCATTAGACTAAAGTTTATTTCAGGTGATTGCAGATGTGGTGGGGTGAGTTCAGTTGGGGTATTTGTGGTCAAAGCCCTGGGGTTTGATGACACACGTATGCTTGTACGGATACAATATAATTCTGCGCATGCAGCAGCTTAACGCAACACAAAAATACCAGTATGAATAAGAAACCTCATGACTGGACGTCGGAGTAGGCGGTGAGATCAATACCTATTTTGGAGGTAACAGCTAACAGCTAACTTCGACTGATTACTCTGGTCCCTAAATATCACCACAAAGCTCGTCTGTTGGACACTGAGATCAAATTAGGTTCCATGACCAACCCTGTAAAGACTGACATAAAAAAAAAAACAACAGAAAATTCTACATTTTTGGAACTGACGTCTGTATGAAATATTACAACAAACATTGTATTTGCATTGCATTTAAAAACTCATCGTCCCATGTCGGCTAAGAGCAGCTGGGCTCGGTGTTCAAAATAAGGGGCAGAATTTAACCTTAGCATAATATAATATCAGAACGGGGACATGGGACAAAAACAACCTCAAACATGTCTCACCAAGCTTTACCACAGGGCAGCAGGAAACCCAAAACCTCTTCTCCTTCTTCTTTAAAAAAAAAATTCTCAGTTGTTCTAATGTTGGGAACCTGACGGTGTTTCTGAGCAAACAGCAACGTGCAGATTGAGACAGGCCTTAACTATCAGGTTCTTCTGGTGTGCTTCATACCTGGATCACTCTATCATCCTCTGCCTCATGCTGCCATCATCATACCGCAGCAGTCTGCAGTCTGCCAGACATGAGGAGAAGGTGGTGGGCGGGCTGTGGACCTTTGGTCTTGAGTGTATGAAGACATCCGTTGTGGTTTTTGTTCTCAAATAAAAAAAAAAAAAGAAAGAAAAAAAAAGAGCTCTTTACACAACACTGTCAAAACAACTGCAATTGAGCTGTGACTGTTTACAAAAACATATTTATTTAAAAATAAAATATCGTTGTTTTTATGAAGGCTCCATTTCGTTCACCAGGTAAAGCTTTCAAATATTAAACCACAAAAAAAAAAAAAAGTTGTGCTCAGCGACATGTCCAAACATCCACTGCCTTGAAGGAAAACGATCTCCTCCTGTTGGGCCGTGGGAAATTCTGCGCCTCGTGCCTACGCTTTGTGTGCAAGCGCTGCTTCTCTGCGTCTACGTGATCCTCAATTAACGGCATATATTTCGTTTCAGACTTTAACGGTAACTGCAGGGATTAACTGGCCTGAGTGGGTGAGAACTGGTGTCTGGTGTGCATTGAATCTTTACGTCCTGATTTTAATAGCTGGCTGTAAAACAAAAAAAAAAACAACTAAAGAAATGATATATTTTAATGTATTAAAAAAAAAAACCTAGACAGGATAAAAGTTTCCTCTCACAAAAGGCTTGACTGCTGGAAAAGCTGGAAAAGTCATCTACCAATTAACTGTATGGTCGCCCTGCGGCGGCTGAAGAGGTGAGGTAACACCCTGCTGCTGTGCACCAGCGGCGGCCTCTCTGTGCAGCACTAGCAGCAGCAGTCGAACCAGTTGCACATCGCACCGTGGTGAAGGACGCAAATATGTGTGCAACAAAGCAACACTGCTGTTACTAAATGTTGGGCAATACATATACTGGAGATGACTGTACTTGTGGTATGGAGGGAAGAAAACCTCCGAAACATCCAAGTCACATCCAAGTCACATCCAAGTCACGTGACGTGACTCATGGTTTGTGTTTTTTGTTTTTTTTGCACGCCATATTGTACGCCTATAAAAATCCCCCTTTTCACAAAGTAATGTATTCATTAATAGAGTGTCCACTTTATCTACACATGGAAAACGTGCTCTCATCTTTCTCATTTGGTTATGTTAGATCGTCAACGGGATTGTAATAAATAAGCACATTGGGCTGTGAGGTCATCACATGGAATGCTAGGGGAATTTGGACAGAGAAAAACGCTTTTTTTTTACTTTTTAGTGTTCCTGAAATTGTATACTTGATGCTGCTCCCGATGCTATTTTGCGTTGCGGCAAAAAACACCGATTCTGTTACAAGATGTCATTTTTGAAAATGAGGATTTTTTAGAACCTGAATTTTCTTTTCTCCTTGAGCCTCCGAGTCACTTCCTCCTGGTCTCTTCCTCTTGTGGCCCGTCTGTTCTTTCACGCTCACATTACCGAAGATATTTTGCTCCCAGGCCTTTTTTTTTGGGGGGGGGGAGGGGAGATATATGCTTTCATGCAATTATTACCCCCCACCCCAAGTCTACAAAGATTTATTACTCGCTTGAAGTGTTCAAAAACTGGCCCGCAACTGTAAATTTGACTTTCATTTCAGCAGTGAGATGCTATGAAAACACAGGAATGCGCTCACTGGGAGCTTCTAGAGTGGAATTTTTGCTGGGAATTTCCCACCGCTGTGTGTTCGCGCACGCGCGCTGAGAGCCTGCAGCGCGGAGCCTGTTGTCCCTGTGCGAGGATAAACAAGTGACTCAGGTGCACGGCTGCGCTCGAAGGAACGAGAAGGAAAACAAACAGGTGGCAAAAATACATTTGTTGACCGTTGGATGTCTTTAATCAGTGGCGTCTGAGTCAGACGATAATCAGGACTTGGCAGTAAAACGATGTGTGACCTGGTAGATGTGCTTGAGTTACAACCTGGCACAGTACATGTTGTACTCACCAACC